AAAATATGACCAAATAAAACAAAATAAAAGGTATGATAATTATGGTGCATTAATCATATTAAATATGCATTTAAGGCTTTTCAAATAATGGGCAACCGATTGGAACCCTTTGGGCGATTTTGCATGGGTTGACCGAGTTGTGGCATTGGATGAATTCACCTAGTTGGATTTTGGGGGTCAAGCAGATAGGCAAGCTACTTCGAGTACTTCTGTCTTTTCGATGTGATTTCGATCTTAGGTCGATTAATACTTGTTTTTTGGACATTTAGGTTAATTAAGACAAACGTTTACACACGTCACATATATATAGCTTCGAATCCAATACCTACGTATTGGTAGCCAAAGTTATCAATCAATAGAACAAGATAAGATGCATAGGTCGACTAATGCTTGCTAGCGTTTGTACTCTCAGATGAAGATGACTTTTTATCAGATTTGTCTTTATCATGTTGGGATGAACAAAATGTCAGAAGCTTTATTTTACTTTCTATTGATCCAACATACTTTGAGCACGCTTGCTTTTTTTTTTTTAAACCCCAAAAAAAAGGGGATACGCGTTAAAGTCAAAAAAGGATTACAAAATCAAAAGGGAATCTATCGGAGCAAAAGGGCGCAAAAGAGCTACAAAACATATCAAAAGAAAGAAAAAGAACCAATAGACTCCCCAAACAAAGTAAGTAATTGCAACCTAATAACAAGCTAATGATGCTATAGACTAGCATCCAAAAAAGAAAGATAAGTATATCTCCGTAATCCCCAATCTTTCTACAAAAAATCTTGAGTTGAATCAGCATGATCTCCTCCTGCAAAAAGAAAGAAACACAAAGAAAATTCCTAGACCACCACATTAGAATAGTCAAATAATCACAAGGGATAAAACAGATATTATAAGTGCTGTAAAAGAAATAAACATTGAGTGCAAAAAAACCTAATGTGGAATTTCGACCAGAAGAGCTCAGAAATAAATTAATAGCCTCATTTGGAAACTCCCCACGCCACTCAATTTCACCTCCAAACCATCTAAAATAAAATTGACTGGAAAACCAACAAGCCCAGGCATTCCTCCAAAACCGAGAGAATATGAAATTATTCCCAAAAAACAACTCAGTAATGAGCCTCTCCCAGATAACAGCCAACCACCGAACCAAAGTAATACCCACCTGCTTACATGCATAATCAGCGCCCAGTACAAAATAATCCAACAAACAGCAAAAGAGAAAGCAAGATCCCCCATCGATCTAGCCAACCGCCGGTCAATAGTCACCACAGGAACCTCCAAAAAGGCCACCACATAACAATCAATATCACCCACAATACCCCCAGGACTATTGGATAAAAATTTGTATTGTACTCATCTCAAAGTAAATTCTTCAGCTTTGAAATTATTATCATTTTTTTTCTATTGCTTGCAATGGCTTTAATAGATGTTCTACATTAGAATTGTCACCCATATGAGATTATTGCTATAATAATCAACTTCTAAGATATTTATTTTTAGTTGATTTTAATTTTGAAAAATATTATCTCTAAATTAAAAAATAAGATAAGTTATTATAAAACCTATCTAGTTAAGGATCAATGGAAATACTGCTAAAATACAAACAATTATGGAACAACTGGGATGTTCGTGTCTTGATTTTACTCAGCCTATCTATCCAAATAATTCTTATTTTTCTTGGCCGTCTGAGAAGAACTTCCACCTCGAGATGGATACAAATTGTCGTATAGGCCAGCTACTTGTTGGCTGACTGGGTTGCTGACTTTGTTCTTGGCCAACTAAGTAGCTCCATGGATGATTCCTCCTCCTCCACTGTTGTCTTCTCTTTTTGGGCTCCCTTCCTCATCCTCCATCTTGGTGGCCCTGACGCTATCACTGCCTACTCTACGGAAGATAACAAACTTTGGGCTCGCCATCTTCTCGGGCTTGGTTACGAGTTTTTTTATTTCCTTTTATGTTCTCTTCCGATCCCTTCCAAATACCCGCCTACTCGTACCCACCCTCTTGATATTCTTAGTCTCCATCATAAAATATGTAGAGCGCTCTTACTCACTTTTCAAAGCCAGTATTAAAGGCATTCAAAGTTCCGTCGGCTCCTCCCATATAACTCTACCAACAAAAGATTTGAATGTTTTGGTTCAAGCTTTTTGGTTATACTATGCTATTAAGCCTTATTTTGTTGATGTTTTTCCAATCTTTCCTCAGTATGATGAAAGTAAAAATATTGTCACGGAGATGTCAATAGAAGATTTTTTTATGGTTCTTAGAAAGGATCTTAGTTATGCTTATGATGAGTTTTACACTAAGGCCATTGTAAATCACTCCATACCTGGGTATGTTCTCCAAGTTATCTTCACTACTTGAATTTTGTTGGCTTTCTCACTCTTTATTTTAGAACCAAAGGATGATTTTAATAACCTTGATGTAGCCATCACCTATGTCCTACTTACAACCTCTATATGACTCGACTTTATGGCAATTATCATGCTTATATTCTCCGATATAATGATAGTTTCTCTCCTTAATGTTAAGAAGTTGAGCAATTGGAGTGTGTTGCTTGCAGAATATATTATGAGAATTAAAAATACATGTCATAAGAGAAGTTATTGGTCGATAAAGTTGCTGCAATTGAATATACTCATTAATTGTCTCTCAATTTCTTCACCCAATAAAACTCTTCGACAGAGTATGATGAGTTGGGTTGCAAAAAGTTGAGCTTCGTGCAAGAAACAAAGTTTAATATGTTTTGGGCATTAGCAAAACAAGAAACTTACACATTGCAAACAATCCAGCCTATACAGGCAACACAAGAGGTTCTAAAGGTCATTGTTGCCCATTTAAAAAGACGCATGAATTACCCAGTAGAGGAATTAAATAAACCAGCTAGCTCCCTGGCCCTACAACAAGTAAGAAACATTGTTGATTGAGCTGTAGTGTCATTTGTTCAGCTTTTTGAGAGGTTATCGTTTGACCAACAAGTTTTGATATGGCACATCACTACCAAGCTCTCCTTCCATTGGAATCCAGAGTCTCAACATCCCTTGTCTCCTCATCGAATTGAGATGAAAGTATAGGATAATAGTTTGGAAGGAGTAAAGAGAAAGAGCTCAAAAATGGAAGCTTGTATAAGTACTTGTCCAATTTTGCACATGGTGATGATACGATCAAATATGATGTCTACCATGGGAGGACTGGGCTATATGCTATTCCGGGAGACTATTGAAGAAATGGTTGATCAGTTTATTCGTGAGAGTTGTGATGGACATCAACTACTAAAGCCAAATGAAAAAGTTGAGGAGGTGTGCATGAAGATGATAGCGACTCCAATAGAATTTAACAACCTTACTGCATCTTTGTTTGGTACAGCACGAGTACTTGCTCGTTTGATGTTAGTTCTTAGGGAGGAAGAGAGATGGCAAGTCATAACCACAGCATGGGTAGAGCTTTTGCATAAAGGAGCGATGGATTCAAAGGCAAGCAAGCATATGAAGCAGCTGAGTAGAGGAGACGAGCTCTTGAATTTCATGTGGTTTTGCAGCAAACATTTAATGTTAGATGATATGCATGTGCGTGGAATTCATGACATGGCTGGTGTACATCAGAAGGCTAAGCATTTCGTCTCTGAGATCGAACTTTGTTTGCAGGATTATACATTTTATTAAGACTATTTTATTTTAATTATTATTGTAAAAATAATAATAAAATAACATACTTATTTAATTAAAATTTTAATACTTTAATATTTTAAAAGGCTTCTTATTGCCTTATAAAATATTAAAATATTGGCGAAGAAATCTCTTTTTTCTTTCTTTGAATGCTAGTTTTATTGAACGTTGATGGATCAAAATATTAGTAAGAATAAAGAAAATGCACTTTTGAAATAAAACGTTCATAAATTTATTTCTGTGCTAAAAAGATCTCTCGAAGCCTTCTTCAATCATATTGCTCTGATACTCTCTCATCCTTTCCCTCTGCCATGTCTTCGGCAAATCCTTAAGAATCCTTGGGTCTTGACCTCTCTCCCTACTCAAGGAATCTCTAGCTTGAGCATTTGATCTTATTATTTCTTCCAAAACAATTAAAACTTATTATATAATTAATTTATCAAATTATGGTAAGACTATCATTTCGAATAACTAATTGAGAAAAAATAGCTTTACATTTAGAACATTTTCATCATAATTATTATTTGAAACATTTTAATTCAGAGTAATTAACTTTACAGCCTTCACATTTTAATTAATGTGAATTTGTATGTAAATCATTAACTATTTTTAATTTTTATTGTGAATTTCTCTGTAAATTTGCTTATATGTTCAAAATCTTTAGTGGATATTCCACGGTATTTCGTTGAGTGCAATATAAGATGAATCCGCTTTTTCTATTAAGTACAATTAAGATAACACAATATATTTGAAGAAATAAAAGAAACATAGAAAGATACCGGAAAGAAGAAGAAAGCCAGCGACAGTAAATGCCAGATAGATGAAAGGAAATAAAGTCTTAACCATTACAGGGTCCTATAGGACTTATTTATAGAAAATAAAATATATAGATCCCGATGGCCTATTGCCACATGGACAAGAAATATATTTATTTGCTCATGTGTTCTGTTACGTCCCTGCAAACTGACGGGTGGAGTCGAACTGTCAGCTAGTTGCGAAGAGTTACAAACCATGGCGTAGAGAGAGCTTTTTGTGAATATGTCTGCAATTTCGTCTGTAGTGTTAATAGGTAGAAGACGAATGTTGTTGGATTGGATATGATCCCTGATAAATTTCTGATCAATTTCAATGTGTTTCGTTCTGGCATGAAACACTGGATTGTTGGCCAATGCAATTGCAGATGTGTTGTCGCAGTACATGTCGGTGGGATGATCTTGAGGTATACCGAAGTCCAGAAGTAGATGACGAAGCCAGATATTATCCGCGGTCAGTGCTGCTAAGGCCCTGTATTCTGATTTGGTAGATGATCGAGCAACCATATCCTGCTTTTTTACCGTCTAGGAGATGATGGAATCCCCTAGAAAAGAGCAATAGCCGTATGTTGATCGCCGAGAAACTGTATCACATGTTCAATATGCATCGGAAAAAGATTGAAAAACAAGATTAGATTTGGTGATAGGAATACCATAATCTAGCGTACCTTGAATATAGCGTAATAGACATTTAAGAAGATAGTTGTGTTGAGGAAGAGGTTGATGCATATGCTGGGAGAGTTGATTAACACTGTAGGCAATATACGGCCGCATTAGAGTAAGATACTGGAGTGAACCAGTTAGACACCTATAGAGAGGAGGATCAAACAAACTTGAATCAGTTGGAAACGTGGAAGGAAACTTGGTACAGTTTGGGTTTGCAAGAGGTTTGCATGCCGTAAGGTGTGCCTGCTGTAATATAGATGCTGCATAGTTCTTTTGGGAAAGGAAGTAAGCTTGATTACTATAATCAATTTTGATGCCCAGTAAATCATGCGCATTACCCAAGTGCTTCATATTAAATTGCGTGCTGAGTTTTGCTATAACTGCCTAGACCTCTAAAGTGTTGTTACCAGTAATCAGTATGTCATCATCTTACATTAGCAGAAAAATTTGAGTTTTGTTACGACGTAGAATGAAGAGGCACGGATCGGCATTATTGTGTGTAAACCCGATAGAAACAAGATAAGATGTAGAGGTGTTATACCATTGTCTCGACGCTTGTTTAAGACCGTAGATGGCTTTGTAAAGGTGACACACATAATCGGGATGATTGGAATCAGTGAAGCCTTTGGGTTGTGCCATATAAATAGTTTTGGATAACTCACCGTGTAAGAAAGCGTTTGCGACATCTAATTATTGAACTTGTCAATTGAGATGTAGAGCCACCGTAAGTAGAATACGAATTATCGAAAGTTTAGCTACTGGACTAAAAGTTTCATATAGTCCAAACCATATTCTTGATTGTTTCCAAGAGCGACTAAGTGAGCTTTGTGTTTGGCAATGGTACCATTCTCATGAAGCTTGCCACGGTATGTCGATTTGCACCCAAGTATTAATGAATTGGGAGGTGGCTTTACTAGGCTCTAAGTACCCTATTTTTGCAAGGCTAAGAACTCTGTGGCCATCGCATTTCTCCATTCCAAATGTTTAGCAGCCTCCGTATATGTAGCGGGTGCACTGGTAGAATCTGATACAATGGTAGTATGCATGAGGTTTAATCTGAGGTGAGGTTTAAGTGAGCCAGTTTGATGTCTGGTTACCATAGGATGATGAGGCTAGGAGGAAATATATATAGATGGTTCAGCAGATGGGCTTTGGGAATGAGAGTAGGATGGTTGCTACTGAAGATTATCGGAAGGAACATTAGATGGAGGGAAAGGCTGGTGATCTGTAGTCTGAGAGGTGTTAGAAATAGAAGTGGGTTGAAGGAGGAATGGTAGCTAGAGTATCCAGAGACTGTGCCGAGGAATGAGTAGTGATCTGTTTGAAAGGAAATGATGTTTCATTGAACGTGGTATGTCGAGAAATATAAATTTTGTCAGTTGTAGTGTCAAGACACTTATAACCCTTATACGTGTCAGAGTAACCTAGAAATACACAAGATTTGGATTTTGGTTGAAGTTTATGACAAGTGTGAGCTGGAAGAAGAGGGAAGCACTCACATCCAAAGGTACGAAGATGGTCATATTGAGGTTTAACATGATGAAAAAGCTAAAAAGGTGAAACAGAGGAGTTATTTATAGATGGCATTCAGTTTATTAGATAAACCGAGGTTAGAACAACTTCCAGCCAGTGACGATAATGAATAGAAGCGTTGTTAAGAATGGTTTGGCAAGTTTCAATAATATGGCGATGCTTGCGTTCAACAACACCGTTTTCCTCTGGCGTGTACGAACAAGAGATCTGATGAGTTATGTCGTGGGTTTGAAGATACGTTTTAAACCTGTTATTTGTGTATTCGATGCCACCATCGGTTCTGAGCATTCTAATATGACATGATGTATATTTTTCGACTTGGTTCTTGAAAGAAGTAAAAATGTCAAAAACATCAGATTTACATCGCATTGGAAATATCCAAGAAAATCGTGAAAAATCATCAACAAATAGAACGTAGTAACGATATCCTTGAGCTGAGGTAACGGGTGCTGGACCCCAAATATCCAAGTGAATTAGCTCAAGAATAGCGTTATGACGACTAGTAGATGGTTCAAAAACATGTTTGTGGCTTTTCAATTCACTACAAGAAGAACAAGAAAAATATCTTTATGTATATTGAGATGCGAATTGCATCTAGAAATTATTTGAAGCAGCCTCTCTTGAGGATGTCCGAGCCTATGATGCCAAAGAGAATGGTCTTGGTTGGTGACAGATAGAGCCTTCTGAGAAGTAACTTGCTGATTTGCTTGAACCGGATATAACCCTTCATTGCAAGGACCTTGATGAAGCACTCGCTGCGTCTTCAGATCCTTCATTGTAAAACCAAATAAGTCAAAAGTAATTGTAATATTATTGTCTTGAATCAGTTTTGAAATAGAAATTAAGTTGTAATGCAGAGAAGAAGTGTGTAAAATTTGTGATAGTTTGAGCTTACGAGATGGGGTCGGAAGTAATCCGACCCTTGAATTTGCAATGGTAACAGAACATCCATCCCCAACAACTATACTGTCTGAACCTTGATAAGGTGTGGAGACAGATAAATTTTCCTGCGAGTTCGTTAGATGCGAGGTAGATCCTGAGTCCAGAAACCAACTGTTGGAGGGATTATCAGAAGCAGCCAGCAGAGCTCGGTTAGATTGAACCTGAGCGGATGGAACATATTGAGCGTTGAGTCTATGCCAGCAGTTGGAGGCGGAGTGTCCTTTCTTGAAATTAATCTGACATATAACGGCTTGGGTTGCAGATTGTCTTCCCGACTGACCAGAAGGATGCGTGAATCTTACTCTATTTCAACATCCCCGACCACGAGACGTATATAGAGCAAAGTTAGGATCATTGGAAGAGTGACTTCTTGCAGCGTCGGAAGCAAGATTTACCTATTCACTGAGAAGAAGAGGGTAGAAGTGGTCTAAGCTAATCGGATTGATCATAATGCGAATGGAAGTTTTGAACGATTGATATGATGGGGG